AATGATTAGATTTTGGACAAAGTCGGAACATCTGGGGGGGTACTTTATGGGAGGCCGTTTTTATATTTTATGGAATATATTTGTTATTTATGTTTGGAGAAGAAAATTGCTCAAATAAAAGTTACTTGTAATATTATTATCTATAGTTTTTGTTATATGTCAAATTTTCCTGAAATGGTCCGTATTCGAGAAATTTGGACAAAATGTGCAAAATTCAGATATTTAAGAAAACAGTTAAACTAAAAGCGATATCGACCTCTATAATTTTTGTTTTTACATAATTTTTCTTAAATGGACCGTAATGGAAAAATTGGAGGAAAAGTGCTAAATTTAAATTTTTCAGTATTTTCGTTTTCAATGGATATCTATAGAAAAATGTTTCGAGTTAGATGTATCTGGAAAATGTATATATTTAGTTTATCCTCTAAACATTTATAAAGGTGCTACTATAGGTTGTACAAAATAACCGGAAAAATCCTATAATAACTAGATAGAAAAGTCATGTGTTGGACATATCAGATTTTTTTTTAATATGCTTGATGAATATCCTTTTATACAAAAAAATTTTGAGTGTGTGTAGATGATACAAACATCTTAAAAGTGAAAAAGAACGCTGCTAATTTCAGTGAAATCAGTTTGAGGCAAAGTTAGATTAGTTTAATATGAGCTCAAATAAATAAAAGAACTAGATGAATAATGGCTTTATTTTAAGCCAATATACGGTATCGGCCAACAAATACCTTCTAATATCCCTTGGCACAAGTGCAAGTGAAAGCTACAGAGAGTTGGCATTGGAACGAGCGGAAAAGGAATGGTTTCAACGTTGCTATTTATACGAATCGACCGCGTTGCTCAGGCCGTACGGACTGGCATCGCTGGTATTGTTCCATTCCTGTTTGTCCTAGTGCTGACTAGGTATTCGTTGGCCGGTAAAGTATGTGAACGTTTGACAGTTTGGTTCTCCAATGGCGTATCAAGTAGTTTTTTTCATCAGAATCCAAAGGATTGTTTTTTTATATATTTTTTAAAAGACAAGGTGTGGTTACAATCGACTACGACGCATCCCTACTTCAGACAAATTTGACTGCTGCCACGGTACATGATAATTAAATTTGATGTTTAAAAAAAAAATAGGTAAATAATAAATATGTACAAACATATTATGGTATCTTGAAATGAAAGTGAAGTAAAAAAGTCAGTTTAGATCTGAAAAACTAACTGCAGATTTAAAAATCTGAAAATGTATACATTTTTTTTCCTTAAATCTCTCAGCTTCTTTCAATTTTTCTTTAGTTTGTTTTCACTTTGGGATGATGAGTGTATAATTTTTATAGTTTTGTAGGGTGCATATAGTATCTTACTATCCCTCAAACTTGTTCACCAAGTTGATATAATAAATATATTACTTAATAAAGGAGGCAGTTTAAAACTGACCTGTTCAAAATTGTGAGCCGTTACCCAGACAGCACAAAATTATGGCATGAATATTCAATGCATATCTCAATGCATTCCATGGATATGCCATATGTGCCATGGCATATGACAGGAAGATTGCAGGAACATTCAAGGTCACCATGAAACATATGCCCACGATGTTTTTATCTGCCAAAATATATGTATGGCATACCTATTCTCTGGATTTACTGAGGATATCTTTGTATGCCCATATTCATGGTATTTTGAATATTCATGGCATATTCAATTTTTTTTTTGAATAGTTTAGAAAATAAAACCCATACTTAAATACAAAATAAATTTATTTGAAAAATAAAGCAAATTTTTAAAAAATAAAAACAATACATACATACAAAAAACTGTAAATTTAAATTTATTTGCTGAGGTTCTTCACGTACTTTTCTCCTAAAAAAATGATAATAAGATATGTATATGTATTATGAGATATTTATAAATTATTTACATTTTGATGCTTTTAATAATAAGTGTTAGAATTGAGATGAAAATATCAGGTAAAATACAAATATTTCAAATTCTTGAGACAAACATTACAGTAATACTTATTTCCATAGCATTTTTGGGTCATTTTATTTATAGTATTGGCTTCCTCTACGTTTTCCGTTGCCATTTCTCTACTGTGGATTTTCCTACACATCTCAAAAAAAAAAACAAAAATAGAATTACATAGTGCCTTGTCTGCAATTTTATTACGAATATCCCATGTTTTGGTTTCCTGTAAAAACTTTTATAATGATCAGTTACTTTATTACTAACAATATGTAATTCATTAGCAATAGATGTCTTTGAAATAATATTATCCTTTACAAAGAGAGATGTTGCAATAAACTCAGATTCTTTCCTGGTGAAAAGAATGATTGTATTTCCTCGGAAGTTTCAGTAAGAAGCTTACATTTTACATTTATCTTAAGCTAATGCTCTATCATCATTTGAGAACAAAAGAGACTCGTCTAACAATTGATTTACACCTCTTATAAAATATTTATTCATATTTATAATTTTAACCACACTGATACTACAGAAGGACCATATAATTAATCAGACTTACCCCTTAGGTAGGTATATCGTGAGACTAGCAAAAACTCTATCACATCTCCATCTCTCACAAATCTGATAATGTTTGGTTATGGGTCATATTCTTTTTTTTTTTTTATTAGTGACGTTCACCGTTTAGAGTATTTGGTTACGGTATCATGGATAAAAAATATTCCTCACAATCTAACCTCCCGTGTAACAAAGACTTACGTTCGAGGAGAGGTTAGACTAGGAGTGGAGACAATAAGACACTATTAGGTAATTTTAACTACCAATACGTAGTAGGCGTATACTTTTGACTGTTAGAATTATTCTTTTGTCCTTTTCTTGTCTTCATTATAGGAAAACTATACATACTTATTATATCTATGAAGAGAAAGATAATTTGATCCCGGAGGTATATTTTTTTTTATTAATTGAAAATAAGTTTGCATGATAATGATTTAAAGTTACATTCCGTAGTTCTAAGTTCACGTTTTTGTTTAATTTAAGTCTTTATAAACTAAACAAGGGTGTTCCTGTTAACTGTCTTCATTTGTAATTAAAGATAATAGAACAAAATAGTTAAATATAACATAATATTTCTACAGAGATATCTATAAAATATGAAAAATGAATATGCTGAGCATATCAAAAAATACATATGCCTGGAATATCTTTCTAGAATGTAGAATATAAAATATTATCTGTGAATATTTCATAAATATTGCAATATATTTTGGCAAATAGGCATATTGGTGACATATGCCAGGGATATACTGTGCTGTCTGGGTACATAATATCTAAGTTTAACATAGTTTAATAAAGTATTTTACTCTAAGCTATTTTCTCTAAATTTGTTACCTGTTTTCGCAACCAAAGGTCAGGTCAAAGCATTGTGATATAAACAGTGATGCCAAAATTAATATTCAAATTCAAATATGTCTATATAATTTTTATAAAATAGAAATTAGAAATAGGTATGGTTGGCATGAAAATATTTAAAAAAATGCAAATATTTTAAAAATAAGGATTAAGCGTTCCAAAAACGAACACCTTCAATTTCAGAAACAACAACAGTAGTAATAGTACCGCCGTAGAGAACTGGGAGCCTATTCTCTAACTATGGAAAAATGAGTGTTAGAGCACTGTAACATGCATCCGATTCTACTTACAAAAAATCAGGAAGTCTGTATGGCGCTGTGATGGTGGGTTCAGAATAAGGGTTGCTCGAGCGGCAGTTTTGGTAACACAGTTTGCTCTGCGACCCTGTAGCACACCAGAGTGTACTCAAGGTAAACTGGAGTAAAAAAAATCCAGGCGGTCACTGCTAAAGGTAGCCACTAAATTAGGATTAAAACACTTATCTCCCTTATTCCTTGTACCCTACGGTACTCTGAAAGAAAACGGTCAAGAGCCGGTAATAAAAGAAGCACAGGGATAAATAACAAAATATATGTTTCCAAAAAAATAAATAACACCTCGGCCGGGTATTGGCCTCCCCGGTATACAGAGCATAAATTCTTAACACAAGAACACCGGTCAGAAAGATCGGTTGAGTTATACAAGTAAATTCAACAATCAAACGGGAATGTATTATTCCCCCTGTACACAGAAAATACATTTTTCTACATAAATTAAAATTAATTTTCAAAAACAAATAAGTTGAAATAAGTAAACGGTTCAAAATTTAGTAAACAATTATGTTCCCCCTGTATACAAAAAATTAATTTTTACCTAAATTAAAATTGTGCACCAACGGTACTTATAATTAATTCCCAAAAAAATGAATTGAAATAATTAACGGTTCAAAAATACCAGAAACAATTAAGCTCCACCCTGTATACAGAAAATAATTTTTTACATAAATTAAAATTAATTTTCAAAAACAAATAAGTTGAATTAAATAAACGGTTCAAAATTCAGGAAGCAATTGAGGACCGTTTTTTCAAAACTCAACAAAAACAAAATGGACCGAAAATGAGTTACACATGTAGATATATATTTTCAGAGGTGCTCTATCGATTGGCGCACTCAGAATACAGCAAAACGCAACAAGATGCATGTTACAATCATTTGAAGTATTAAAGATTTTGCAAAACTCAACATGATCATGTAGGTTTTGCGAAACTCAACAAGATCAGACCTGTATTTCTGCACACATTTAAGTACCTACATAGTTTCACAGCCTATTTTGTTAGTTGTATGAGATTCGTGATGGAGTGAAAACGACAACGACGAGTATGACAAGTCTGTCGTGTGTACTCCCGGTGGGCGAAAGCATTGTAATAGTGGGAGAAAAAAAAAGAAAGAAACTAGATATTTTCTTGGACATAATCAGCCACCTATAATGAAATGTCCACATACAGCGCTGGATTATAAAGGGAAAAAGGAATGTTTGGGCAAATCTTTAAGCACTGGAGATGCAGAAAGTATGTATTTTGCATGTTTGCTCGATAGTGTTTCAGCATATTGCTTACTTTTTAGCTTTCCGTCATCATTTCTTTTCACAATTTCACAAAGTAACAAAATTGATCAAGATCGCTTCCTGTTGAAATATATGAATGTTTCTATTCCTGCTCCTCGGAAAAGGGAAAGAAATCATCTTAAACCAAAGTCAGTAGTTACAAAGTATACCCTACGAAAACAAAATGGTGAAATCATCCCAGTGTGCGCAACGTTTTTTACGAATATCACAGGTGAAAACCTATTTCGCTGCTATTATAGTAATTTTTAGAACGAAATTTGTTTTAGGCGTTTCACGTAATCGATTAGCGATTGTGGCCCGATATTTTTTGCACACCGGCGAAACACCCCAAGAACGACGCGGATGAGATCGGTCAACAGTGAGAGATAGAGAAATATCTGATCTAATTCGAACTCATATAAAGTCATATAAATGTCGCGAAAGTCACTACTCGAGAGCAAAAACATGTAGATCATATTTGCCACCAAATTTGAACATTCAAATGATGTGGAAGCAGTATTGTGAGAAACAACCTAGGAAATCGTGTTCTCTTGCAAAATTTAAAAAAGTGTTTTACAAGGATTTTAATTTAGGATTCAGCAACCCTCACTCGGATACCTGTTCAACGTGTAAACAATTTAATCCATTAGACAAACTAAAGACCTTGACCAGAAGGGAGTTCTCAGAGCACAGTTAAAACTACACAAACTAAGGGCAAAAAAATTCTATCAGCTTTTGAAGGAAGAAAGCGAGAACACTATTAAAATCGTTTTTGACATGCAGCAGAACCAACCGCTACCTAAGCTTTCTGTGGGAGAAGTGTTTTTTTCTCGCCAAGTATGGCTCTACAATCTCACCATAATGATCCATAAATCCAAACAGGAAAAAAGATATTTCTCATTATGTGTGGCTCAAAACTGAAAGTGGCAGAGGAGCTAATGAAGTCGCTAGCTGCGTACAACATTTTTTGAAAAGGTTGGAGGAAAAATTTGAAGATGTACTAGGTTTTAAACCAAATGAAAAACAAAACTTGTTGCTGTTTTCAGACTCTTATGCAAGTCAAAATAAAAACACAATTTTAATGGGAACACTGATGAATTTTCTCGAACATTCCACTATTTTTTCAAGCATCAAACACGTTTTTCCTATTAGAGGGCATAGTTACATGCCGGCGGATCGTGTATTTGGCCTAATCGAAAAAGAATATACAAAACTGGAAGAGATGGTATCGCCTAAAGACTATTATGACGTATTGGAAAAAACTGGTAATCTTTCTCGTTATGGCCAAGATTGGACTGTGAAAAACATAAAAGACGAAACAAAGAAAATATTTAAAACCAAGTTACCATTTAAAATCTCTGAAACAAAGATTATCAAATACCAACGCAAAAAAGAAAAAGTGGAAATTTTTGTTTCAACCACCTACAGTGGAGGATTGATAAAATGTGCTGTCCTGAAAAACAACATTAAAAATGCACTATTGGTCGACAACGCAAAAGTATTGCCAAAGTGTAATATGGTAAATATAAAAAAAAGGGACAATGTTAAATTACTTTTGCAATGCGTGGATATACCCGATCATGCCAAGGAATTTTACCAGGATGTGATGGCAGCAGCGAATGACAATACAGGGAAAGATGAAGACAACATAAATAAAGACTACGACGACAGTGAAAATGCTTTTTAATAATGGAAGTAACATGATAATATGAAGAGCGTCCGGTTTTTGTTGAGTTTTGCAAAAACTCGAGAATTTTGATATTTTTTTTTAGAATTTCCCTTATAATTTTTCTTTGTAACTATATGCATCCTTATGCATCCAATTAAAGAACTTTAAATTCCTAACTGCATTTTTTTTCACCCACTAGTCAAATTATAAATCATAAAAACGTGTTTCCTGAAAAATCGTATTTTTTATTATGTTGAGTTTTAAAAAATGGTCCTCAATTATGCTCCACCCTGTATACGGAAAATAAATTTACTAAAAGGAAAATTAATTTATAAAAACAAATAAGTTGAATTAAATAAACGGTTCAAAATTCAGGAGGCAGTTATGCTTGCTTCACCCTGTATACGGAAAATAAATTTACTAAAAGGAAAATTAATTTACAAAAACAAATAAGTTGAATTAAATAAACGGTTCAAAATTCAGGAAGCAATTATGCTCCATCCTATATACGGAAAATATTTTTTTACATAAATCAAAATTAATTTTTAAAAACAAACAAGTTGAATTAAATAAACGATCCAAAATTCGGGAAATAAAATTTTACGAGGAATAGGATTAATGCACTATACTGGGCATTCGGTCGGAGACGGCTTGTTTAAGAATTAACACAAAATCAAGTTTGCACGTCGTTAGTGAATTTTCGAGGTTTTCGACCTGCTTTTGCAAAAATATTACTCTCGACAGCTGGGAATACTATACGGGACAGTCGGTTGTAAAGCTTCCTGGATCATAGGCGATTTAGGTGATCCGCAAATGGCTCAACCAAGAGATTTTACAACGCTAGATCGCGATAATTTAATTAACAATAATTAGAAAAAATGATCGCGTCATTTAATATTAAAAAAAACTGAATGTTATATCTGGAGGGGTTGCAAAGCTTTCCGGGTCCGGAGCCTATTCAGGAGATCCGCAAATGGCTCAACCAAGAGAGTTTTGACAACGCTAAATCGCGATAATTTAACTAATAATAATTAGTAAAAAAATAATAAATGCTCAACTAGAGGGCGAGACGAGAACGGCAATTTCGCATAGAAGAATAGAACAAATTATATTGAAAGGTCTACCTTGGTTAATAATCGGAAATACTGAAAACTAAACGGTTCACTAATTTTATAACACTATATCGGTGAAAAGCTTCGGAGCAACTACCAGACACTACGGTGGTCAAGGAGTGGGTTTTTCTAATTTTCGCCGCACTCTTACTTATGCCTTTTTAGTTGAAACGCAGGACGTCGACTAGTTCGGAGTGGGAGAAGCCACCACCAGTTTTCGGACTGTTTACTAGTAATAACTACAAAAAATGACCCTCACACACCTTCGCAAATAATTTTGATAACTTGATATAAAATTCGGTGTTTTAATACGAACATGATTTTACAGTACAAATCAAAATATTTTAAACTACGGGGGGCTCGCTCAGCCATTCAGAATCGGCAATGACCAGGGAATTCAACATACGGGGATCTTTAACGTGTACTTCCACGCAAATTAATTAAAATATACATTTTTTAAATGAATTAAAAATAAAATTTAGTGACTCATCACAGCACTCTCTCACTATTCGGTTTTAAACAGTTTGTTAAATTTTACACAAGAGTAACACAATATAGTACAAGTACAATTGATTTAGTTTTTTATAATAACTATGATGTTGAAGTATATAAATTAAATAATAAAATTACTGACCATGAGACATTAACATTATGTATTCGACATCCTGAATATGAGATTACTCAAAATTACTATCAATTTAGAAAAACTGACTACAATAATTTAAGTATACAATTTATTGAAAAGGAATGGCTCTATACCTCTGTTAACGTAAACGAACTCCTCATAAATTTGATGTCAAACATAAAAGACACCCTCGATAAAGACTATCCTCAGCAAACCAAAAAAGTTAAAAAATCAAAAGAAAAGTTTAGTGAAATCGGCAAAAATGCTATATTTGAGCGCAACTGTGCTTATAACCGTTTTGTAATCTCTAAATCTGAAACTGATTGGTTGTACCTATACTCAAAGAAGAAATAATGTTGTTAATTTAATCCGCAATCTTAAACAACCTTATTTTGACAATAAAATTGATAGTGTTAAAAATAACGCAAAACACAAAACCAACCAATTAAGTCACAACGATTTTCAAAAATAATGCTGAAATTTATGATAATATAGAAAACGAATTTAATGACTATTTCATTTCAAGTATTGAACAAATTGTGAACAACATAGTATTTCGTATTTTAAAAATCGAGGGGTGAACCGAAATAATGGACTTCATAACTTTAAAAAAAACTATCACTTGGAGAACTTAAAAATATAATCTTTAATCAGCAAAATAATTTTTCAGAAGCGAGATAAATTTTAAATTAAAATAAAATACTTTTGGTGTGATTGGTTACCCTCTGTTACATTGTATTAATAGATCATTAGAGTTTGGAGAATTTCCTGATAATTTAAAAACCTCAGTTGTAATTCCAGTACCAAAAATATCCAGTACTAAAAATATTTAGAGTTTAGAGTTGATTTACGCCGCGCATTTGAGATTCTGTATCTGTAACGTGTGGAGTGTAGGTTGCTCCTACGGCACTTAGGTCTCACTGAGCCCATTGTGCATCCTCCTAATATGATAGGCATCTCCAAGCTCGTGAGCCAGCCTACACATTTAATGTTGTTGACAACGTCGCCAAGAGGTGTTTCTCTTATATTGGCCGGTGTTAGCCGATACTCGCCTAACCCAAATCTTCTAATAAATGAGAGCGTCGAGCAATCGTAAAGGATATGCTCGATGGTCTCATCTTCTTGTGCGCACCCTCTGCAGAGTGCGGATTCTGACAGACCCATGATATGGAGATGCTTCCGTACTTGGCAATGACCAGACAGAATGCCGGTGACTAGGTGCAGATTCTGTCTAGTCATAGTCAAGTAGTTGTTTGCTGCAGTGTTGTCAGGATAACTTAAGAGCTCCCTAGCAACTCTGCAGTTTCTTGTTTCATCCCATCCTTCCTTGAATTTCACAAGGGAATGTTCTTTAATTAGGTCGGCCACCACCGATTTTGTCAAGCCAATAGAAGGGCCAGGTCCAAAAAGTATTTGTTTGGCTGTTTTCTTGGCTAGTGAATCAGCAAGACGGTTACCTTTCGATGTGGCGTGACCTTTGATATATCTTAAGGTGACCACATTGTTGATGGATACTTCGGCCAAAGCTTTGTGACATTCTAGTACTAACCCTGAGTAAATTTGTGGTCTATTCAGGGTGAGTAGTGCTTGTCTACTATCTGTATAGATGAGCATGTTGGTGCTATGAGAATCCCGTTAGCTCTGTTTAAACTACACTGGCACTATTGCGAACAGCCCGTTTTATATTTAGGTTTAAGAGTCTGGAGTATATTCCACAGCCCGAGGCTTGTTTTGTTTTAGGACCATCAGTGTAGATATGAATCGTACCTGCCACTTCCGGCTCTTCTATTTGTTCTGTTATAATTTTATATGGCTTATGGAAGATATATCTCGGTGAGATGGAGTCCATGTTCGCTGGAATCAGTGGGAACGTATCGAGCGCTTCCTGGCAAAAGTGACGTCTCGCCTACTAAATCCTACATGGTTCTATTCCAACCGTGCGGAGGCGTGTCATTGTCGTCAGAGCAACCTCCTTGATGTAAATATCAAGGGGAGTAAGACTAATGACTTCCATAGCTCTGGTCGGTATTGTTTTCATGGCTCCTGTTATGTTGAGACATGCTGTTCTTTGAATTTGTTCTAGTTTACGGATAGCTGTAATTTTTTGGGTTTTCGGTACCCAGACAACTGCACCGTATGTTAGCATAGGTCTTACAATAGCCGTGTAAGTCCATGCGATGACTCTGGAGGAGAAACCCCAGATGCGTCCCACGATTCGGTGGCATTGTTCATAAGCAATGTATGTTTTTTTACTCTGTTTTCTAAAAGCGAGTTCCATGTTAACTTTGTGTCAAAGGTGAGACCTAGGTACTATTCACCTCTGTTGCAAAGTTTAGTTTTGTGTTTAAGAGTTCTGTAGGTTTTATTTCCATTTTCAGCCTTTTCCTTGTGAAAGGGACCATTTCTGTCTTTTTAGGATTGATAGACAGTGAATGCGTCTTTGCACCACTCTTCTATATTTTTTAGAGCTACTTGCATTCTTTCGCAGAGTCTGTTCTCAAAAGTCCCTGTTTTCAGAATGACCGCTCTTGCTGCATATGTTATTGTGTAGTGACTGTCATTATTGAGGCGGCTGATGAGGGTGTCGAGGACCATGTTCCACAGTAGAGGTGATGAGAACTAAAAAGTCATCGTATAAAATTAAGGTGGATTTTCGGAGAATTCACGGAAATCACATAAAATCAATTTTAGGTGATTTCCGACATACGGATACGTTTTGACCTTAGTGGTTTACCCCTCCTCCTCGGATATATCTATACAATAAATTTAAGTCTCTAATTTACAATGATGAAAATGTTATAGTAATCTTTTTTTTAGGATGTAGAAGATATATCTCTTACCCTAGAATCAATAGAAGAGAGCTACAAAAAAGTTTTACCACATTTAACAAAACCAACAAGAAATATACAATGTTTGCTAGAAAGAAAATTTAAAATGTACAAAGATGTATTATGGAAAGCTGAGCTTAAACTCATATATTTTGTTCAAGAAATAATCAGCGAAATTACTCATTTATTTATTTATTATGGAGAATTTTTGTTAATTCAAACGTTAAGGTATTCGTATTGAATTTTTATTTATTAATAAAATTACTTGTAAATTTAGTACCTACTTAATTCAGTATCGTGACAATCACAGAACGGCTTTCATGAAAATACTTTCTAAAAGAACTAAAATCTGTTTCGGGTAAGTAAAGAACGACAATTTAATCTTGGCCCGTTCATGTTATAATCTAAAGGACGTTTTACATAACAATGTTATAATGTTAAATATGAAAAGTTTTGGAAGTGTAAAGTATTATTTGTTTATACTTCAGAAAAGTTAGTTAAAAAAAGAAAAAAAAGTCATGTACAACAGACTTTCATTATTACAGATACTTTAAATTAAAGGGGCGACTAGTTTAGACATTATAGATAGGCTATCAGCAGGCCTAAAATGAGTTTTTAACAATAGCGTATGGTG